GAAAACAGTTTGTAACTCGTCTTCCTATAAACCATATTTTTTTACCATATTTTCTTAGTATACTCGTCGACGACTGAAAAAGAACATTTTGTGAAAACGAGTATACACGTTTCTGCCGGGGAAGGTTAAGTTAGGGTTTTTCAAAATGCTGACATACCGAGTTCAAAAGGTTCGCCATCACTGGTTCAGATGAAGGTGTTCTGATCTCTCTGGTTTTGGCCGCCCTCAGGTATCTGCTCCATGATTTACATCTCAGTTCAGATTCGCCACGGGGCTCAGGTGAGCTAACAAGGGTCGCCTCTCTTCTCAGAGCAAGTGCGGTGGGACCAGATGCAGGAAGACACTGCAGGGCACATCAGGCCTGTGTCTCCCAGCAGATCTGACTCCAAATACTCTGCCAGGGGTGCCGGCCAGGTCAGGTCCTTGGGAGCACAGCCAGTGGGTCCAGCTAGTAGGCAGCAGAACTAGAGTTTGGGTCCAGATCTGCCTCGGTTGGGAGCCTATTCCCTTTCCCTGGAGAAATATTATGGGGGACTCTCAGCGGCCGACCCTTGTCACAGGTGATTCCTGACCCTCAAACCCATAACCCAGACAGTCATGTCATCTGCTCAAAAAAAGCATAGAAATGTTTATGGATTCCATTTTATGATGAGACAGGACCACAACTGACCAAGCCAGGAAAACCCAACTCTGTCACTGCTTGCTGTGACCTCAGGCCACTCACTTAACCTTTCTGAGGTTTGCTTTAATCAGTTGGTAAAAGTCAATACTCTCTACCTCCTGTAGTTGCCTAGAGAAACACACAGGATATATTTATAAATTGTAATTGAAATAGACACTGGTACACAGGTTTAAAAAAAAATTAACTCTTATTCTAAAATTATCTCCCCCTCCACTCTTTCTATAGGGGATAAGTACAGCTTGACTTACATACCGTATATATCTCCACTTAAACCATATCAGCATCTGTGGGTGACTCAACCCTTCTGTCTGCTAGAAGAGAATAGGCCCCTGACCCATTTCATGTGGCTGCTTTGCAGGATGACTAATAACTGTGCTCATAAAAACCTCTGCTAAATGTCAGATCCGCGAGGACACCCGAGGACGTAGGATTCCTTCGAGGCCGCACATCCAGCTGGGGACAGAGAAAGGAGGACTTAGCTTGTGTGCGAGTGTATGTCTCATTCATTTCAAAACTTCGCAGGAAAAAGAAACAACACCCAGGAGCCTGACTTCTGATCCTCATGGAAGCCCAGGCCTGGGAGGTTGGAGTTAGCACCTGCCCGTGAGAGGGTGGAGGACTGATCGGTCTGCGGCTCACCTGGATCCTTCCCGGGAGCTCCGAGACACCGATGCAGGGACCCACGAGGCCTGCTTAGAGTCCTCAGTGCCCTGGGAAACGGGCTCAAGGGGCCTATGGGATCCATGCCGGGCCCCTGGGATTTTAGAGAAGGAAGCCTTCCCCAGGCCCCGGGGAGATGGGGAGTTTGGATGGACAGGGAACGCACTCTCAGCACAGCATCCTGTGGCACGTGCCGTGTGAGGACAGAGGCTCCAGGCCTGTGAAGGGGGTCTCTGCACAGCCCACCCCTGTCCAGCCCTCCTCACCCTGAAAAGACTATGGGAATTGGCTCAGGTGGCCTGGGAAACAAAGCCCAGCCCAGTCTGCATCCTGAGACTTTTCCCTTCATGTTGTTTCGTAGCCCATTTTCCTCTATCGCTGATCAAATAACAGTCAACATGCTTGAGTGCCTATTCTGTGGCAGGCACGGTGCCAAGGACTTCGTGTGTGAGTTGGTTCCCTTAAACCTAACAATTCCCCTAGAGGTGCCTTATCAGCCCCGTTTTCCAGGTAAGGAAACTGCGCGATGGAATAACCTGTGTGAGTCACCCAGGACTGGGACCTGGCCTGGCACTCAGGTGGCGTCTTGAAAATGTTTAGGCCATACCTAACCTCAAGGTCAAAGTGTAGTCCTGAAGTACATTGAGTCCCTCGCCAGACAGATGGGTCCAACCGACTTTATAAACTCTAGTGAGACCAGGCTTGCTCCTTCTAGACTTATAATCTGGACAACAGAACCAAAGGGTTCTGACATGAGAAAGGCTGCACAGATTGTGCTAATATCGCTCTTTGAATCGAACGCTCCTGAATTTACTATGCTACTTGGTGCCTTGCCCAAAACATTCCAGGATGGTGCCACCAAACTCCTGCATAACCACCTCAAGAATTCCAGGAACACCAGTGTGAGCTCTCTGAGCAACACAATTGGCCGGACTCCCTCCCGACACAACAGCAGCCGGACCAGCCCCCTGACCTCACCCACCAACTGTTCCCATGGGGGCCTGTCTCCAAGCCTGCTGGACTATGATACAGAGAACCTGAACTCTGAAGAAATCTATAGTTCTTTGCGTGGAGTTACAGAAGCCACTGAAAAGTTTAGTTTTCGAAGCCAAGAGGATCTGAATGAGCCAATTAAACGAGATGGCAAGAAGGACTGTGAGTCTACGGCCAAACCACCCTGAACGGGCCCGATCTCATCTGATCTCGGAAGCTGAGCAGGGTCAGGCCTGGTTAGTACTTGGATGGGAGACCGCCTGGGAATACCGGGTGCTGTAGGCTTAAAAATAAAAAAAATAAAAAAGAAAGAAAAGAAAAAGAAGGACTCTGATATTGTATCCCAGGATGGTGGAGTTGCGTCCCGTGCCACTGAGGGCCGGGGCGGCAGTGACGTGGTGGAAGGAGGCAGAACAGCTCTGGGCAACAAGACCTCCCTGCTCAACCCCCAGCCTCCGCACGCCTTCCCGGGGCCACGGACACATGACTATAACCTGTACCCCTACCCGGACACCATCAACACCTATGAGCTACGCTGAGCTGACGATCATGAAGACTCTGGAGGCCCACAAAGACTCCCACAAGGAGGTTGCAAGGGCCGCTGAGGAAGCTGCGTCCACTCTGGCCAGCTCCATCCACCCGGAGCAGTGCATCAAAGTGCTCTGCCCCATCATCCAGACGGCCGACTACCCCATCTACCTGGCTGCCATCAAGATGCAGACCAAGGTCGGGGAGAGGATCGCCAGGGAGTCCCTGCTGCAGCTGCTGGCTGACATCCTCCCGGGCCTGCTGCAGGTTATGGCGACACTGAAAGTAGTGTGCGGAAGGCCGGTGTGTTCTGCTTGGTGGCACTTTATTCCGTAATCGGAGAAGAGCTGAAACCTCACCTCGCACAGCTCACGGGGAGCAAGATGAAGCTACTGAACTTGTACATCAAGAGGGCGCAGACAACGAACAGCAACAGCAGCTCCTCCTCCGAGGTCTCCACGCACAGCTAACGGCAGCGCGGGTGTCCCAGCCGCAGAGCAGCCGCGGTGCCTCTCAGACCTTCCCACCCCCTCGTAGGCTCCCATCAGGGCGAGGAGGACACACACACACATATTTATTACAACCAGTATTTGGTCCCTTCCAGCTTTTGTGTAGAATCTTACTGGCATTGAATGTAAAGAGCAAGGCCTGTTTGGCGTCCTCACACACAACTGCAGGAGTGAAAAGAGCCATGCAGACTCCAGCACTGAGCTGCCCTAGTGCGCTGATGAACAGAGGGTGTGGGGGTCTGTGTTTCTTTTTCATCTTAGCGTCCTGCGCTCTGGATGTGGCCGTGTAGGGCAGGTTACCTCCCCGCCACCCCCAACACACACCCCCCAGCCGACGCCATGAAAGGGTTAGTTGTGCCTCTTTAAGCTGCATTTTGAGACCTGCTAAGAGTGTGGATCACGTGGCAGGATGGAGGAAAAGCTGAGGAGGAAAAGCTGAGGAGGGCCTCTGGCAGACCCCGGGTGTTGCTTCTGTACCTGGGCCAAAGGCTGCCGCTCTCATGCTAGTGCCCCATGCAGTGCCCGGTGCCGCCCTGCCCTCGGCTCCCGGGAGTCTGCGGAAGCTGTCTTCAGGGGCTCCTCTCGGTCCCTGGGTCTTGGCGCCGTTGGTCCCTCCTG